TTTCTGTGCCCTCTTGCAGCTGCACAAGCACAGCTCCCAAACCAATATTGCTGGCATCAGTGTGTAGTATCGTTGGGGCTTTCTCATCAAAGTGGGGAAGCACTGGAGGCGTCTGTAGTCGCTGGCGGAGGTTCTTAAAAGCAGCTTCTTCTTCGTTGCTTCATTGGAAAGCAACGTCTCCTCTCGTGAGGCGGGTCAACGGTGATGCGATGCGTGCGAAGTCCGCGATGAATCGCCTATAATACGCACATAGTCCGAGGAATCGTCGGACAGCCTTCTTATCAGTCGGCACCGGGAACTGTGCAACAGCTGCAATCTTTTCAGGATCAGGACGAACGCCTGCGTGACTGACAACGTGGCCAAGAAATTGCAGCTCTTCATAGCAAAAGTGGCACTTTTCAGGCTTCAACGTCAAGCCCGCAGACCGTATGGCTTGTAAAACTGCCTCAAGTCTTTTAAGGTGCTGGTCAAATGTTGCGGCGAAAACTACTACATCATCAAGGTAGACCAAGCAAGTTTTCCACTTCAACCCAAAAAGTACGGTATCCATAAGTCTTTGAAAGGTAGCAGGCGCTGAACATTAACCAAAGGGCAAGACTTTAAATTCATATAAGCCATCTGGTGTCACAAAAGCAGTCTTCTCGTGGTCTCTTGGGTCTACCTCGATTTGCCAATACCCACTCCTTAAGTCCATCAATGAAAAGTAACGAGCATATCGAAGTCTGTCGAGAGAGTCATCTATACGAAGAAGTGGATACACATCTCTCTTTGTCACCTGATTAAGTTTTCGGTAATCTACACAAAAGCACAGGCTGCCATCTTTTTTTAACAAGGACTACAGGTGACGCCCAGGGGCTTTTTGAGGGCTGAATGACGTCATCTTCTAGCATTTTGTCGACTTGCTCTTGTATCACTTCGCGTTCCTTTGCAGCCACGCGATAGGGGTTTTGGTGAATTGGTCTCGCCATGTCCTCGGTAATTATTCGATGCTTGGTTAGAGGCGTGCAGCCAACTCTTGATGTTGTCGAAAAGCAGTCTTTGAATTCGACCAGTAGCTCAAGAAGCCTCTTTCGCTCGTTCTTAGGCAAAGTAGTGCTAACGTCAAGAACTGTTGTCGAATCAAGTTTCGGCGCCTCGTCGACTACTGCCAAGCAGCCTTCTGCGTCTGTGATATCGTCGAAGTAAGCGACGGCCATGCCTTTTGGAAGGTGCCGGCGCTCATCACTAAAATTTGTCAGAAGCAAGTCCGTGCGTCCAGCGGTGACACTGACGATACCTCTTGCGACGGAAATGCCGTGTGTGAAGATGAGCGAGGTTATTCGGTCTGCTACTCCTTCGCCGTCAAACTGGACAGCGGCTGCCACAGAAACAAGCGTGCATGACTGAGGAGGGAGAACAACGTCGTCATCAGCTAGACGCAATTGGTTTGGTCGCGCCTGTGTACAATCAGGTGCGCCCGAACTGTTGCGGAATGTAATAAAACTGTCTGGGATATTTATGACGGCGCCGTACTCTCGTAAGAAGTCCATATCAATAATTAGATCCTTGCAGCATGCGGCGAGAACGACGAACGACGCAACGAAAGAAGAACCTCCTATGTCAATTCTCGCTGTGCATATTCCAGAGGGCATCAATAACTGACCACCTGCCGTCCTTATTTGAGGGCCTGTCCAGGGTGTCTTCACTTTCTTGAGGCGGATGGCGAGGTCCTGACTGATGATAGAAAAGTCGGCACCGGTGTCGACTAAGGGTGTTACTTTCTGGCCGTCAAAAAAAGCACTCAGGTCAGCGGTCACAATGTCATCGCTCTCACGTCTTGTTGGATTTACAGCGTCGTGTAATGGGGGCTTTTCGTCGTCATCTTCATTGCCTGCAACCTTACCCCCGGAGGTCGCCGCCCTCAGTTTCCCCGTCGCGGGCTGGGTGACCTTCTTGCGTTAAGTTCCGCGGAAGTACGTCGGTGTGACGAAGGTGAATGAGCGGGAGAAGGAGAGCGGGATAGACGTCCCAAACCTGGCTGGCGGGTAGGTGTTGCCTCCTAGTCAGAAGTACGGTATTCGTAAAAGTGAGAACGGGCTCCATGGAAAGAGGCGTCCTCCTGGCGTGGTATGTATTCTTCGTTCGCACGTCGATCGTCAGACCATGTTCGAAGAGGGCGGAACGAATCACTGCGGTGCCAGCAATGACGGGCAATATGACCTGCACCTCCGCAGTTAAAGCATAGTGGACGTCGATCGATTGTGTGCCATGTGTCTGTTCTTCGGAGCGGTGGACGTCTGAGCCTCCCTTTTTGCGACGATGTCTATGGTGCTGCTGTGGACGCCTGGTGGTACGTCGGTTGGCTTGGCGGTCGGCTCAGGGTCTGCTCTTGCCGTGGTGACCAAGGGGCCGTCGGCACTGGGTGATATGGCGGTGATGGACCAGATGGTGAACGTCGCAGAGCATCGGCATAGCTCATGGGACGGTGCTCGTCACCAGGACCAGCGGTAGAAAATGCGTGGCGTATTTCGTCGCGTACCAGTTCAGCGACGGACGCAACGAGGGTTTGAGCAACTGGATTCCGGAACTTTTGCAGTTCTTCGCGAACTATTTCCCTAATGAGGTCTCACAGCGAGCTTTGATCGTCAGGTACGGCAGCAGCATTGATTGGGGCGCTGCTAGACATTCGATGATACTGCCTGCATCTTTGATGGAGCGCCCGCTCCATAGCCGTAGCCTCCTTGATGAAGTCAACTACGGTACTTAGAGGGTGGCGCAGTAGCCCGGCGAAAAGTTCCTCCTTAATGCCGCACATGAGGTAGCTCAACTTCCTATCTTCACTCATGTTCGGGTCAGTTCGACGAAAAAGACGAGTCATATCTTCAGCAAACATAGTAACGCTTTCGTTGGGTTTTTGAACGCGTAGCTCCAACAGCTGCCGCGCACGGTCACGTCGATCGACATTGGTGAACGTATCGACAAGCTGTTGTCGAAAGTCGCCCCAAGTTAACAGACTGGCTTTTCTGTTCTCATACCAAATTTTCGCACCACCGTCAAGGTAGAAATAGGCGCGTGAGAGCTTTTCTTGTTCAGGCCACAGATTAATCTTGGCGACACGCTCGTAGTGCTCAAGCCAGTCGTCCACGTCTTCATGGGCGCCGCCACTAAAGTGATAGGGAACCAGTGGTTGAAAGATGGTTACCTGTGAAGGCTGTGTTGGCGGGGGGCGTTGGGGCGCCGGTTGCGGATTGGCGTTGGCCATTTGGTGAGGTAATCGGCACTTGCGAGTTTCCGTGGAAGGCGTGAACTCTGGAGCGAGGCCTATCAGCCGCCGATTGAACCGGTGCACGGGAGTTGCAATGGGTGACAATGCGTCCGAGCTAGATGTACGGCTCCCAGTGGGAGTATGGAGCATTAGGTAGGGTTGGGTCCCAGCACTTCCACCAGTGTCGTGGTACAGTGCCAACCAAAGGCAGATAAACGTTGATACAGCGACTCTCAGCAGCCGAACAGCAAGAGCGCCTTCTTTATCTTCAATCAGCCACAGCTCCACTACCTGGTGTTCGCCAAATCCCCTTATTGTCGTTTTGGTCCACCAGTACACACGCGTCAATATATATATATATATATATATATATATATATATATATATATTATATATATATATATATATATATATATATTATATATATATATATATATATATATATATATATATATATATATATATATATATATATATATATGCACGCGCGCGCGTACGCACCCACCCCACCACGGTAGGGTATATTGTAAGCTGTAGCGTGAGGCTCAACCGAACGCGAACGTAGCAAAGAAAGAAAGGTGAAGCCCACATGTTCACACTTGCCTTTATGTAGTGAAAAACTGCAAAAAGTCTGACAAACAGGACTCTCACAGTATTCTTCAAAATTATGAAATGTTCCGCGTGACTAAACCATTTCTCTATTGTACAGAATATTCAACGTTTTCATTGTAGAAAATCCCCACAACTTCTTTCAAAAATATTTGTCCTAGTCAGGTAAAATGGCTGAGAAATTCGGTATTGAATGGCACATGTAAAACACAAAAAACAAACGCGTAGAAAGAGTAAGCGATTTAATTACTGTTTCTGGAACCGAATTAAAACCACTGTATGTCATGGTATAAACACTGACAATATAAAAATCACAACACTTGACAAGGTAATGTATTGGGGTTGGATAATTGAAATCTGAGTGTTGATACACTTCTAATTGCAAAACCACAAGTCACTGCTGCTTGCACAACCACCTTCAGCTGCTGAGATGACTGGTCCCTTTAAGAGAAATGGGGCCAGGCTGTTTTTCCTCTACAATAAAAAAATCTCGTAAACCTAAAATAAATAAAAAAGAAACAATGATCAAAAGTTTCACAAAGTGTGCAACATATACCGTATATACCTTGCATGACTGACTGGTTCTTCAGGTATGTGTAAGTATAAATGGAGTAAATAGGCATCGCGCTCCACTCCTGGGCGAAATGCTGGGAAGGGTATACGGCGCAATAAACGCCATAAAAAGCGCGCTGTGGAAGAATCTTTATACTTTCGGGACGTAAATATAAACCTTATTTACCTTTTTAACTTGCTCGCACAGGCTAAAAGAAAGGTGCAGTGCCAAGGCGATAATAATTCATTAGCTGTATGCATCGACAAGTCTAATTGAATGTTAAGTTCTATCTTTAAGTATATATGCATCAACACAGGTACATGTGTTGAAATTCTTAAGGATCAAGAAAAGCATATTATATATTTTTTACGGTTAGATGTGTTCGTGCACCCACCAGTCACAATTTCTCTAGACATGCGCCTAGTTCCATTAACGCTTCAGTATTGTGTTTCTGGTGTTCATTTTTTGCCACTGCGAGTGTTTCATGGCCCGGTGCTCATTTAATTTAGATCCGTGACAGTGCGTGCTGTGATTCACACCACCAGGCTGGAACAATCTATAGATGAAGCGGTCTAATATTTTGCGTCTGCGCAGGATACGGGCTAACGGAGAGCTTCGGCGCTGGAACCTTCTCTTTTGGAGTTAGCGTCAGTAGCGACTGCGTCGGGGCGCCTAACTTCATGTCTAGCCTCAAGGTAACATTCCTATCTAGTTTCACGTAATGTACGTAGTTATTTATTTCACTGCAATACAAACAACCAGCCACAGGAGTACATGTGTCATTAACATGCATATATGAGCAGGTTGTCGACGTGAACACAGGAAAAAAACTGGGACCTGGTCAGCGCGGAGAAATACGAATCAAGAGCCCATGCTGCGCTATGGGTTATCTGAACAACAGCCAAGCCACCGCCGAGCTGTACGATGAGGAGGGGTTCTTGAAAACCGGTGCGCAAACGTTTCTCTCTTCCCCAAACTCCTAACACCGCATGCTTTGTTTATGGGCACCGCAGACGATGCACGACAGTCATTTCACAAGCAGTGAGTGTAGATTAAAAAGAAATCTTGTGTCAAAAACATGTATATCATAACTGAAAACCTTGCATTACCAAGCAGCGGCAAAATATAAGACGTTAGACAGGTATAGTTTACCATTAGCTTTACAGCAGGGGTTAAGTGAATAGCGTTACTGAGCCGCAAACGTTCGTTATGGACAGCCCCTTATAGTTTAGCCAGAGAACACCTACCTCTTAACGGGATAGCGTTTACGTGGTTTATGAGCCCCTGCTGGGATGGTGGTGCCACCTATCAGATAGCGAATAAGCTACAGAACAGAAGAAAGTGAAAGAAAAGAAGAATGACTGCCTATGCAGCGTGCCTGTGTCACCACGCAAAGCAATGTTACAAGATTTTTTCAGTAATAACAAAAGTAGGTGAATGTGAATCACGTGCAAACGCAAAAACATTTGTGCTGCTGATTTGTTTCAATATTCTAGTGGGACCTAGAGAAGTTCGAAATGGAAAGCCATAATAAAAATCACGAAAACTTTTCCGTGATATTCGGTCATCAAATCTTACTAAAGGCTAGCGAAGCCATTTTAAACAGTGTTTTGCTGCGATTGAAATAAATCTTTCAACAACCACACCAACATACCTTCGAAGCGGGCGTCCGAAACCGCCGTCATTATTTACGTACACTACGTAAAGCACGTTAACACGGTAACGCTAAATCTAAAATAGCGTGTGGTGAGCGGTACGGATCATGTACAACGGCTGCTGGATGAAAGAGCGCACGGGTCGTGCACGTACATTACTGTGCATGTGCACTTTGATCGACAATCCTGCTAAGCACGCTATCCCGCTAAGCCCTGTAAACATTAACTGTCTATCATTGTGACAGCGGAAAGAAGTTCTTTGAAAAGTTGACAGGTGCTGTTACCGTGTTAGATTACAGTGATATGCTGAGGATTCCGTGATTTTGTTGAAGCTGAATGAGCACTTTCTTTCAAAACTTTAACCTTGGTTGAATCTACAGACAGCTAGAAACACAGTTTTAACTGAAAAAAGCTCCATAAGGAGCTAAGACGAAACAAATTCACATACAGAGAGAAGATTAGTCTATTCTGTGCTGCTTATATAAAATACGTGGTATAGACGCGACTCTATATGAGCTCCTTTCGTCAAGACGCGACGCCATTACTGTTCCTCGCATATTCAGCGACGGTTATCATCACATAAGCATATGTATTTGTCGCGGGGAAAATACCGCCTATATTGGGAGTTTTTTTAGCTTTATTTTCGTTTCATGAATGTTGCCTTCTCGTTCATGTGCATTCAACGAATATGAAGACATGGATGCACAGTGGACTTCTTGAAACCACGAAACATTTTAAGTGGCTTCAACTGCTTTTCTTCAAGAAGTTAATTTTCATGAACCAGCAAAAACTAGGAGAAGTCCCTTTTTCCTACCGATCAGCTATCATTCGAAAATTCGTGCGCAGGTGACATAGGCTACTACAGCGACCAAGGCCTGTTCTACATCACGGACCGAATGAAGGACCTCATCAAGTGCATGGAACAGCAGGTGCCTCCTGCCGAGCTCGAAGCTCTACTGCTGCAGCACGGAGCTGTTCACGACGTTGCCGTGGTCGGAGTTCCGCACAACGAATACGGCGAGGCAGCGAGGGCGTTCATCGTGATAAAAGAAGGCCACGATCCAAGTGACACGCTCAAGGATGAGCTATGGAACATTGTCGCTGGTACGGCATGTTGTACCTGTGTGACAGTGTGGTTGCTTTGGCTGGTTGGTACTGAATTCTTAAAGGGAACTTTTTTTTGGGGCACAAGACGTTTCAGGAAAAATTGACACAAGAAAGAGCACATTCTACCCTATCTCAATTTTTTCCTGAAACGTCCTGGGCGCAAAAAACAAACGATTTATTTAACAAGGTATTTGTGTGCTATACCACTCTTATGCGGCACTCGTAGCCTTAGCGCAGCATGTCTTTAATTTTCTGTAATTATAGACTCATCAATGATGCAAATTCCATTGAAACAATTTGTTCTCACTGCTTGAACTAAATCAATGAAATACTGTAATTTATTTTCCAAATCCAAGATCTCATTGTAGGATACACTGAATAATTTCTCAAGCTAAGCGGGTTCTTAAATAATAAAAGTTCCACCATGCATTCAATCCAGGCTCTCTTTTTTACATTTCAACTTCACCAAGACATTGCCGTGGGCGCGTCCTTTACATTTTGCTAAGCAGAACTCTGTCGCCGCTAATGCAATATCTTGAACAAGAAAACTTCAAATCCTATATATATATATATATATATATATATATATATATATATATATATATATATATATATATTATATATATATATATATATATATATATATATATAGATATATATATATATATATATATATATATATATATATATATATATATATATATATATATATATATATATATATCAGCCTGACTACGTCCACTGCAGGACAAATGCCTCTCCCATGTTCCACCAGTTAACCCAGTCCTGTGTTTGCTGCTGCCAATTTATACCCGCAAACATCTTAATCTCATCTGCCCACCTAATCTTCTGTCTCCCCCTAACCCGCTTACCTTCTCTGGGAATCCAGTTAGTTACCCTTAACGACCAGCGGTTATCCTGTCTACGCGCTACATGCCCGGCCCATGTCCATTTCTTCTTCTTGATTTCAGCTATGATATCCTTAAGCCCCGTTTGTTCCCTAATCCACTCTGCTCTCTTCTTGTCTCTTAAGGTTACACCTACCATTTTTCGTTCCATTGCTCGCTGCGTCGTCCTCAATTTAAGCTGAACCCTCTTTGTAAATCTCCAGGTTTCTGCTCCGTTGCTAGTACCGGCAAGATACAGCTGTTATATACCTTCCTCTTGAGAGATAGTGGCAATCTACCTGTCATAATTTGAGAGTGCTTGCCAAATTTGCTCCACCCTATTCTTATCCTTCTAGTTATTTTAATCTCGTGGTTCGGCTCAGTGGTTATTACCTACCCTAAGTAGGCATAGTCTTTTACAACTTGAAGTGCACTATTACCTATATCGAAGCGCTGCTCTTTTCCGAGGTTGTTGTACATTACTTTTGTTTTCTGCAGATTCATTTTAAAACCCACCTTTCTGCTCTCCTTGTCTAACTCCGTAATCATGAGTTGCAATTCCTCCCCTGAGTTACTAAGCAACGCAATGTCATCAGCGAAGCGCAGGTTACTAAAATACTTTCCATTAACTCTTATCACTAACTGTTCCCATTCTAGGCTTTTAAAAACCTCTTGTAAGCACGCGGTAAATAGCATTGGGGAGATTTTGTCCCCTTGCCTTACACCCTTCTTGATTGGTATTCTGTTGCTTTCTTTATGAAGCACTATGGTAGCAGTTGATCCCCTGTAGATTTCTTGCAGGATGTTTATATATACTTCATCAACGCCCTGATTCCGCAGTGTCTGCATGACGGCTGATATTTCTACTGAATCAAACGCCTTCTTGTAATCTATGAAGGCTATGTATAGTGGTTGGTTATATTCTGAGCATTTCTCTATTACCTGATTGATAGTATGACTGCGGTCGATTGTTGAGTAGCCTGTTCGAAATCCTGCTTGTTCCTTTGGTTGATTGAATTATAATGTTTTCTTTACTCTGTTAGCAATTACCTTTGTAAATAGCTTGTATACTACAGAGAGCAAGCTAATTGGCCTGTAATTCTTCAAGTCCTTGTCATCTCCTTTCTTATGTATTAAGATGATGTTAGCGTTCTTCCAAGACTCTGGTACTCTTCCCGTCAGGAGACACCTCGTAAACAGGGTGGCTAGTTTATCTAACAGAATCTGTCCTCTATCTTTCAGCAGATCTGATGCTACCTAATCCTCACCAGCAGCTTTGCCTCTTTGCATGCTCTCCAAAGCTTTTCTCACTTTATCTATCATTACTGCTGGGGTGTCATCTGGGTTACTGCTAGTTCTTATAGTATTAAAGTCGTGGTTGTCCCGGCTACTGTACAGATCTCTGTAAAACTCCTCCGCTATTTTAACTATCCTATCCATATTGGTAGTTATTTTGCCTTCTTTGTCCCTTCGTGCATACATCTGATTTTTGCCTATCCCAAGTTTCCTCTCCACTGCTTAGACGCTTCCTCCGTTTTTCAGAGCGTGTTCAATTCTCTCCATGTTATACCTTCTTACATCGGACACCTTATGCCTATTAATCAACTTCGAAAGCTCTGCCAGTTCTATTTTGTCTGTTGTACTTGACACTTTCATGAATTGTTGCTTCTCAATGAGATTCTTCGTTTCCTGGGTAAGCTTGCCAGTGTCCTGTCTAACTACCCTGCCTCCAACTTCCACTGCACACTCCGTAATGATACTCGTCATATTATCATTCATTGTATCCATGCTAAGGTTGGTTTCCTTAGTGAAGAACCGAGTACCTGTTCTAAAGCGAGACTCTGAATTCTTGTACTTTCCCTCTCAGTGCTAGCTCATTGATTGGCTTCTTTCGTATCAGTTTCTGTCGTTCCTTTCTCAAGTCTAGGCGAATTCAAGACCGCACCTTTCTATGGTCACTGCATCGTACCTTGCCAACCACTTCCACATCCTGCAGGATGCCTGGGTGTGCACTCATTACAAAGTCTATTTCGTTCTTATTTTCGCCATTAGGGCTCCTCTATGTCCACTTGCGGTTTCCTTGTTTTCGGTAGAAGGTATTCAAAATCCGTAAATTATTGCATTCGGCGAATTCTAATAGTAGCTCTCCTCTGGCGTTTCTAGTGCCGATGCCATAATCTCCTACTGCCTGGTCTCCATCCAGCCTGCTTCTTCCCTACCTTTGCATTAAAGTCTCCCATCAGTATTGTATACTGTGCTTTTACCTTACTCATTGCGGATTCCACGTCTTCGGGGAAGCTTTCAACTGAAGCGTCATCATGGCTGGATGTAGGCGCGTAAGCCTGTACCACCTTCATCTTGTATTTCTTATTCAGTTTAATTATGATACCTACTACCCTTTCATTATTGCTATTATAGTAGTCCTCTAAGTTGCCTGCTATGTTTTTGTGAATTAGAAACCCCACTCCCAGTTCTCTTCTGTCAGCCAAGCCCCGATAGCAAAGGACGTTCCCATTCTGTAGCACCGTATAGGCCTCATCTGTCCTAATCTCACTGAGCCCTAGTATATCCCATTTAACACCCTCTAGCTCCTCGAATAGTACAGCGAGACTTCCCTCACTAGATAAGGTTCTAGCGTTAAACGTTCGCAAGTTCAGGTTCCGATGGCGGCCTGTCCGGATCCAGAGATTCTTAGCACCCTCTGCTGCGTAGCAGATCTGACCGCCACCGTGGTCAGTTGCTTCACAGTTGCTGGGGACCGAGGGCCGTGAGTTATTTAACGTATGCATGCGGGAGGTAGTGGCCAGATACTGCACCAGGGTGGTCAATCCTTCTCTGGTGAGGGAGTGCGTTCCCAGCTGTGGTTACCGGTGAGGCCGCACCCTAGGCCTCGTAATGCAGTTCCATCACCGCACGGATTTTTTTTTCCGGTTGGGAACTGCACCACGGACCTTTTGCATGCGAGGCGGATGCTCTAACCACTACGCCATCGCTGCACACACACGCACACACACACACACATATATATATATATATATATATATATATATATATATGATTCGAAGTTTTCTTGTTGAAGATATTGCCTGGACGCAATGAAGAGTGACATAGAAAGGGGAGAACACCCCCCCCCCCCCTCTGGGCAAACATAAATGATTAATACAACGTAAATGCTGATACTTCTGTGAAGCACACTACATGTGAGTAAATTACAACTTACATTGAGTGTGTAAATAAGCAGATTCTATCATGTGATACCATTACAAACATAAGGCATCAATGTACACCGCTAATTCTTCATATATGCGCTGCTTTAACAACGTGTATTATCACTCTTTCTTTTCTTTCTAAGTTGGATGTGCATTATTAAACTGCAATTATTAACATTCGTGGATTATTTTCCGTCCCAGATCACGCCAGCTACCAGAAGCACCTACACGGTGGAATCGAGTTTGTGAGCAGCATTCCCAAGTCCTTCACGGGCAAACCCCTACGTGCCGTTTTGCGGAGCGACTACTACACGAAGAGCATGCAGCCGTCACACTAAGAAAATATACCTCACCTCACATTCTTTCAGAGGTATAATACGCGCTCTGTTGCACTCAAAGCTCTTCTCAGCTATCCACTGTTTTTGTTTTTTTTTCCGCTGTTGAAATGCATAATTAATGTTACTTCGTTTCAAATGAACCATAAAGGAATATGATGATATATAGTTGAGACAAGAAAATATTGTTTCGGCTGTTTTCATACATTTGGCAGGAAATTGTTTCTTTTCCCCTCTTAAATTCTTGATAAAAATAATGACCAGATTTCTTTCTTCATTTAGATGTGAAATCTTAGTGGCAGATCATACAAGACAACAACGTCCTTCCACCAAGTCAATGTGGATGTTTGTCATTCTTATTTAGGTACTTTAGAAAATTGAGAACGAGTTTTCTCTTTTTATTTAGTAAGCTGAGATTCGGTTAATAGTAAGCTGAGACTCGGGTAATTGAATAACTTATTCTAAGGCAAATGATATCTCAAGAATATTAACTATTTTTACTCGTGTGATGTTCTCTTTGTCAAATACATGCGTTGTCTTTTCGCTGAATTGTTCACAGTACAAAGAACATTCTTCTATTTCAAATGATAGCTCTAGTGAAAATTACAAAATAGCTGTAGCCTTTGCAAAGCGTTTGGTTGGTTTATGTCTCCTCTAAATAAAAATGAAATGAAGAGCGCTAAATACGAGCCACAGAAAGACAAGAGGTGACAGCTCGCTCATTTCCAAAGCTTTCATGTAATTTGCATGAATCCCCATTTGCACCATCAAGCAGTGGTTGTTGTCAACGCGACCATTGGGACTTGTCTACTTATGCAGAATGTTTCCCAAAGCAAAATACAACTTACCGAGCCCCAACATGCAGCTTCCCTCCATTAACTAACCTTTTTTTGTCTCTATCTCTTTTTTGTTATTCCCTCCCAGCCCAGTGTAGTAGGATCATATGGACCTTCTCGACCAAGCCCTGTGCGCCGCCATGCGACTATAGTGGAGCTCTGGACTGGGGGAACGTCGCACTGGACCCGGATGTCATAATCAATAAACGTTTTATTGTACTACTAAACTCCTGGAATCATGGTATAGCAGTTTTAGTACACACGAAAGGTTCAATTGGCGCTTGCCGAGAAAGGATCACAACAGTACCCAGAATATATATGCACATAACGGACCACAAGACCTTGATACTGTGAGTTCAAAGTCGGATGGTAAATCAGTTGAAGACAATTATTTATTACCCTTACAAACGCTCAGTCGACAAGGGAACCTTAAATGCTAGCGTTTTACAATGAAAGCTGTTGTGAGGGGACAACAAAGATGAATTCTGGTTCCGTAGTTGTCCGCCACCGCTTGTCTTAGTAGCCACTGTCAAACAATATAAAGAAATAAAGAACACCGTGGACATAACGGGTGTCGAGCCCGGCTCATCTGTTGGCTGCTCAGTATTCTAACACAGAGCTATGCCGGTTCCTTGTCCCTTCTTTCCGGTTGGACGTTTAGCAAAATGAGGCAAGACAAATATATGCTGAACAAACATGACAGAACAAACGCTATTGTCTCGACGTGAAGACAGAGGCCGTATTTGAAGAAGCTGAGGAAGCAGCGGGTCGGTTTTTTTATCTACTGCGCGCCACAGGTTCCTTGTCTTTCTCGTTGTTGCGTTCCGCATAAAAGCGTGCAGATGCGCGTATGCACTGGTGCCTTCTTCTTTCTTGCAGGACGTGCGGGACATTTGCCTCCCTTTGAAAACGGCATCATCGCGATGTGCAGCTAAGGCACTCTGCTTACAAAAACGCACGTATGCACTGGCACCGACAAGCCAAGCGAGAGTTAGCTGGACAAGTAGGGTTTCATCCGCATGACATGCACGATATCGGGTGAGTAGTTTCGGCGACTGGGACTGCGATCGCCGTCGAGAACAACTTCGTAGTTGACGTCGTTCAAGCGTAGAGTGACTCGATATAGGCCGAAGTATCGTCGTAATAGCTTCTCTGAAAGCTCACGTAGACGTATTGGAATCCAGACCCATACCTTGTCGTCTGGTGTGTAGGTTACCAATTTATGTCGTAGGTCGTACCGTTTCACATCTTTCTGTTGCTGTTGACAAATACGTACCCGTGCTAGCTGTCGGGCTTCTTCGGCGCGCTGACCAAGTTCTTCGGCGTCAGCATGAGTGTAGTCACACTCGAGCGGCAGCATAGCGTCCAACGTTGTAGTGACTTCGCGCCATAATAAACTAAACGGCGTCATTCCAGTAGTTTCCTGCTGGGTGGTATTATAGGCGAATGTCACATAAGACCAGATTTCATCCCAGTTCCTGCGTTCTGTGTCGACATACATTCAGAGCATATCTGCGAGGGTATCATGAAGGTGCTCCGTTAGTCCGTTCGTTTGGAGATGGTACGCCATTGTTCTCCTGCGAGCTGTACCGCTGAGCCTGAAAACCGACTCCAAAAGTTCTGCCTTGAACGCAGTGCCTCTATCCGTAAGGAGAACTCTTGGAGCACCGTAGTGAAGGACGACGTTTTCGATGAAGAAGTGAACCGCTTTTGCTGGTGTAGGCCTCGGCATGGCGTTAGTATCTGCGTAGTGAAACAAGTAATCGGTGGTGAAAATGATCCATCTGTGCCTTTTTGTATAAGTTGAGAATGGTCCCAGGAAATCCTTTTCGATTTGTGCGAATGGCTTTGCTGGTGCTTGGACGGAATGTAATAAGTCTGCCGCCGGCTTGCCGGGGAGTGCTTTGCGTCTCTGGCAGTCGGCACAGGTTTGGGCGTGATGCTTTAGAGCAGCTGGTAGGTTTGGCCAGTACTAACTGTTTTGCAGTCGGGACAATGTTCGAGTGTAGCCGAGATGACCGGAGGTGACTTCATTATGGCAGGCTTTCAGAATTGCTTTTCGCAGTGATACAAGGACGACGAGCAAGTATGGGCTGCGGGTGGAAAAAGTTTTTCTTGTATAAATTGTCGTTTCTTAAACAAAAAGACGGCAGTGGAAGCTCGCGGCCAGTCTTCACATCATCCTTCTAAGATGTTGATAAGCGGAAACAGGTCGGGTGACTGCGCTGCTCTTGGGAAATAGTGGCTGCATTGATGGCGCCCAGAACTGCGGCGTCCATGAACTCGTCATTAATAGTGGCACTCTCGACTAGTGACCGCGAGAAACAGTCCGCGTCAGTATGCTTTCCACGTCAGTATGCTGATTTATAAATTATGGTCATATCAACCTTTTGAAGCAGAAGGCTCTAGTGTGCAAAACGGCCGGATGGGTTTTCCAAGTTAGTGAGCCAGCAAAGAGAGTGGTGATCGCTGACAACCTTGAATGAGTGGCCGTACAGATACGGTCGAAATTTGAGAACTGCCCAGGCCATGGCGAGGCGCTCTTTCTCGGTAGTCAAGTAGTTCTCCTCTGTGCGAGAAAGAGCTCTGCTGGCGTAGGCTATCACGTTTTCAGAGTTATCTTGCCAATGTATCAGTACGGCGCCCAGGCTCACAATGCTGGCGTCGGTGTGAAGTGCTGTTGGCGCTTCCTGGTCAATGTGCGCAAGAACCGTAGGTGTTTGGAGGTGTTGGCGTAATTCATTGAATGCAGTTTTTTTCCTTTTCGCCCCAAAGAAAGGGGGCATCCTCTCGTCCGCAAAAGACGAGGCGCCGCAAAAGACGAGGAGTTGGCGATGAATCGTCGGTAATAAGCGCAGAGGCCTATGAAGCGCCTCACTTCTCTTTTGTCAAGTGGAGCAGGAAAATTTGCAACAGCGTCTAGTTTGCTAGGGTCAGGTAAAACGCCTTCGAAGCTGACCGCGTGGCCTAAGAAGCCAAATTCACTATAACCAAATGGCACTTCTCTGGCTTTAAAGTCAGGCCAGCTGAATGTATAGCTTGTAGAACTGCGAATAAACGACTTAGGTGTTCCTCGAATGTAGCTGAGAAGACAATAACGTCGTCTAGATAGACCAAGCAAGTCTGCCACTTCATTCCTAATAGCACAGTGTCCATGAAACGTTGAAAAGTGGCTGGCGCTGAGCATAACCCGAATGGAAGATTTTCAAATTCATGAAGACTGTTGGGGGCCACGAAGGCAGTTTTCTCACGATCTTTCTCGTCGACCTATATTTGCCAATAGCCATTTCGCAGGTCCATTGATGAAAAATAGCGTGCATGCCGCAGTTGATCCAGAGAGTCATCAATGCATGGCAGTGGGCAGATGTCTTCTTACGTGACTTCACAAAATCACAACATTTGACTAGGTACTGTAATTAGGGTTGTATTAATGTAATGTGAGTGTTCATACACCTCTAATTGCAAAACAACAAGTCACTACTGCTTGCACAATCACCTTCAGCTGATGAAATGGCTGGTTCCTTTGAGAGAAATGGGGCCAGGCTGTTCTTTCTGGACAGTAAAGTAATCCCGAAAACCTAAAATAAATACATAAGGAACAATAATCAAAACTTTTACAAAGAGTGCAACATATACAGTATGCGCCTCGCATGACTAACTGGTCCCTTAGGTATGTGCAAGTATAAATAGAGTGAATAGGCATCGCGCTCCACTGCAGTGCGAAATGCTAGAAAGGGTACACTGTGCAATAAACCCCATAAAGATCAAGCTGTGGAAGTCTTTATACCTTTTGTGACGTAGATATAAACATTAGCTTACCTTTTTGCTCTCTCGCGCAGGCTAAACGAAAGGTGCAGCTCCAAGGCGGTAAAATTTCATTGGCTGTATGCAACGATCAAGTCTAAGTGAATGTTATGTTCTATGCTCAGTATATATACATCAACACAGGTACGCGTTGAATTTCTTACGGATTACGAAAAGCACATTATGTATTTTTTATTGTAAGATGTGTTCGTGCACCCACCAGTGACAATTTCTCGAGACTCGCACCTAATGCCATTTAAACTCGAGAATTGTGTTTCTGGTGCTCATTTTTTGCCACTCTGGGTGTTTCATTGTTCCGGTGCTCATTTAATTTAGATCCATGACAGTGCGTGCTGTCAATAACACCACCAGGCTGCAACAATCTATAGATAACGCTGTCTAATATTTTGCGTCTGCACGGGATACGGGCTAACGGAGAGCTTCGGCGCTGGAACCTTCTCTTTTGGAGTTAGCGTCAGTAGCGACTGCATCGGGGCCCCTAACTTCATGTCTAGCCTCAAGGTAACATTCCTATCTATCACGTAATGTACGTAGCTTTTATTTCACTGCAATGCAAACAACCAGCCACAGGAGTACATGTGTCATTACCATGCATATATGGGCAGGTTGTCGACGTGAGCACAGGAAAAAACTGGGACCTGGTCAGCGCGGAGAAATACGAATCGAGAGCCCATGCTGCGCTCTGGATTATCTGAACAACAGCCAAGCCACCGTCGAGCTCTACGATGAGGAGGGGTTCTTGAAAACAGGTGCGCAAAAGTTTCTCTCCTCCCCAAACTCCTAACTGCCGCATGCTTTGTTTATGGGCACCGCAGACGATGCCCAACTGTCAATTCACAAGCAGTGAGACTATAGTAAAAAGAAATCTTTTTACAAAACCATGCATACTGTAATTTAAAATCTTGCATTACCAAGCAGAGGCAAAATATGAGACATTAGACAATTACAGTTTACCACGAACGTGATAGCAGGGTTTCAGAGAAAAGCGTTACTGTACCACAAGCGTTCGTTGCGCACAACGCCTTTTAAGCCTGTTTCACATGCGAACGACCGAGCGGCGGCGGTCGCGGCGATGAGCGGCGGGAGGACGCACGAACGCGCGTTCGTTTCACATGCGCCGCTGCTGTTGCGCGACTCCCGCCGCTCCGGCGGGCAGTGTTGTCCGCGGAAGGCGCTGGTCAACCGCTGTTTTCAGTGGTATCTCAAAACCACGCTCTTCTCCAAGTGTCCTTCCTTTGGCACCCTTGTGCTGCGAGGTTCATCATCCATAGCCGCTCGACTTTCACGCGTCTGTGCACTGACGGAACTAAGTGTACCATGAATGTTACAACAAATAAACAACGTTTGCAGGTCATTTGTGTTTTGTCCTGGCTTTTCAACGTATGGTTCTTGTTGCGTGCTCATTTAAATGACCATGAAGAAGCAGAAGGAATAGTTTGCTTGTATGGTTTTATTAGACAGCTGTTCCAGCTAGGTGAATGCTTTGTGTTTTGAGCCGCACTTTCCATGTTTCTCCGATTCATTGCTCTTGCTTTCAGCGATATAACTTAGGGGCGCGGAATGAGGTTTCTGTCAACCAGTATACACAACTCGCCAAATTCATACTTAAATTTTTGTACCTGTTCGCTTGAGTCGAAATAAGATATGTTTATAAAAACTCTCAGTGGTAAGCTTCGGCAGTGTTTGAGGTCACCGTTACGCTCATGCGAACAAACCCTTCATTGGGATTTTCCGAATGGTCTACGTCTCTTCTGTTGCTCAAATTTGTATGCTTCCACCCTAAACAGTAAGCGTCTTAGATTTTTTTATGATTCAGTAAAGCACCCCAGGAAGAATTTCAGCAACGGCAGGTAGCATGATATACGTGATACGCTCGTTGTCCCAGTTCTTTGGCTGCTGTATATACACTTGTGCTCGGCACAGGTAAGGAACTACGCAGCAATTCTTGCTTTAGCTTGAATTTGCGTCCATAAATGTTGTGGTGGTAAGCAGGAAAGCCGAAGTATCACATCATTTCACACAACACACTTTTGCCGTCAGCACATAGTGACATTCAATTGCACGGTAGCCTTCGACCGTGAAATTTAGGTGCATGCCCCTAGGCATGTGTTGCTGGACTAGTGCCTGAAATAAACAGCTGTTCTTCGTTATCTACGCAGTGTATGTTGCGTTCGCGACCGAACATTTATTTTCGCCCAGCCAGCCGCGCATTCCTGCATTGTGTCACGGAGAGCAGCTGGCCAGTGTGACAGGACCTGTCCACAGCCTGGAAACTTGAGCGCTGTGCGGTGAAATTGTTCCTTGCGAGAAAAGCATCGCAGAGGACGTGGACAAGTAAGCTTAGGTTTTAGTGAAAAATTGAAGTGCTGTTGCAGGGGAGAACAAAAATAAAGGCCCCTGATGAGTGCCTTATTTCCCCGAACCATGACAGAGAGCTTAGCGCCCCTTCTTTGTTGAGTCACATCACGAAATTCCTTTTCAGAGACCTGTGTGGAATGCTACTTCACAAGTCGACTACCATAGAGCCCGTCTTTGCTGTCTCGTTCGTGTGAAGCCTTTCATCTATGCACCGCGTCACCAAATGTCATCGTTTGTTAAACCAGCAACAATTGCTGCGACGTAGAAGTACGGCGTGCCATGCGGCTCCTCTATGGAAGAGTAACTTCCGATGAAAACGCAAAGAAAATAAAATAGAAAGTAGTAATAATACTATTGAAACAAAAAAAGTCACCACACACGATTGTCACTCCGGTGAAAGCATCGTCGAGAGCAACGGAAGGAAAACCGCTGCACTTCGAGTTCACCAGTGAACATGGCCAGTTCAAGCGACGACGTTTACTTTACGTAAGTATGCGACTTAGACAATTTCTTCCCAACGAATGCTCTTTTTATGCTTCTTGCGGAAACCCTCCATCTTGACGTCCCAAAGAAGAGATCGTTTCACAACTGCAATCAGTGACTTGTTGAAAGCAGCGCGATAAATTAGTGAGCCAGGGAGAGGACGGATGTCGTCTGATACTCAGTCGAAGTGAGTTCTGTGGAGCCAGTTCCTGGCAGCGCGCTCAACTTCTCGACTCCGCCCCCGTCCACACGTGTCAAACGACGTCACTGGTCGCTCTGCTGCTTGTGCCGCTAGCGTACTTTTCCAACTCTGGCGATATTCACAAGGGCGTCTAGTCGCCGCCGTAGAAACCTGTTTTGGCCTCGCGCGGCAGCTGCCGCTCCGCTCTTGGAGCAAAATCACTCACATGTGAAACAGGCTTTATACTTTGACCAGAGGACTGTAGTGACGTGCCCGGGTAGCGCGGACGCCGCTAGCCAAGCCAAAAGTGGGCGTGAAGCCCGCGAAGAATGACCCGACAACGCGTAGTTCACAAACAGCAAAAAGCCTCGTTTAATGCCCACCGATGCCTTTTATACAGAGTAGGGCCGCCACCTCCCAGTTACTAGAAGCAACAGGTGGCGTCCTCTACATCCCTCCTTCCGGAGCTTTCAAACACAAGTGTTCCAAAAGAGCACCACCAAGAAACAGTACTTGCAGCAGTCTCCCAAATTCAGTCTCCGAGCTGGCACCACGCGCCGGCCGTATCTTGTGTAACGGTGACCTGGCGATCCTGCAGCAGGTGCAGGAGCTGGAGTGTCCGATGCGTTACCGGTTGCTGCCCGCTGTGGTCCGGGAGATGACGCCGATGTCGGGGCCGCAGGGTTGGGGATTCCCATCTCATCTGAGGGGGCCGACTGAGGATTGCTGCAGGGGACAAGGTGTCTGCGGTTTCTCACTAGTATGCCACTGGGCGTCTGGACGATGTACGAGCGGGGTCTCTGAGCCGGGCTTAAGACCGTCGCCCTTGCCCGCGTGTCACGCACCCAGACTTCCTCCCCATCGTCGAGAGCACGAAGGTCATGCGCTGCGTGTCGGTTATTGTAGTCTCTCTGTTGTCTTCGTCTCTGGGCGGTATCTCTGTCATTGAATTCTTTCACCTGGGGCCAATCTGGAGCAAGGCTATGAGCCGTGGCTGGCACACGAGTTCGCAGAGAGCGTCCCATGAGCAGTTGGACCGGGCTGTAGCCAGACACGCCGGGAGTGTTACGGTATGCTAGCAGAGCCAGAAACGGGTCTGTGGCCTTCAGAAACAACTCCTTGATCGTGCGAACCATGCGCTCTGCTTCGCCATTCGACTGCGGGTAGCGTGGACTGCTCGTGACATGCGTGAAACCGTATGTCTTCCCAAAGCCTTCAAAAGCTTTGCAGGAAACCTGTGGCCCATTGTCGCTGACAACAGTCACCGGGATGCCGTGTCGGGCAAATGTGCTCTTGATCGCAGAAATAACGGCTCCCGCAGAAGTGTACCGGAGTGTGAGGACCTCAGGGTACTGAGAACGGTAGTCGACAACCACCAGGAAGTCTTGATTAGCAAAATGAAACAAGTCAATGGCCACCCTTTCCCACGGAGCTGATGGTGTCTCGGTCGCAATCATGGGCTCACAGCGTTGAACGCGTATAGAAGCACATGCTGGGCAGTCCTATACGGCTGCTTTAACCTGGTTGTTGAAACCGGGCCACCATACAGAGCCTCGGGCCACCGCCAAGCACCGATTGACGCCTTGGTGACCATCGTACAGCAGGTTCACGATGTTTCTGCGTAGTGCTGCGGGCACAACTAGGCGTCCGCCCATGAACAGCATGTTCTCGCATACAGTGAAGTCTCCCCGGTGGTCCCAGTAACGCGTCATGTTGAGCGGCAGATGGTCTCGTCGAGGCCACCCTTTCGTACAGTATGCTTTCAGCATTGAGCACTCGCCGTCTGAAGTTTGGTGAGACCTGAAGTCTTCAAGACGGTCGGCCAGGGTTGAAGGGAGGGCTGCCACGACCCGAGACACAAAAATTTCTGAGCTGTCCTCTTCGGACGTGGAAGAGCCTTCGGGATCCCTAGAGAGGGTGTCTGCCGTGGCCAGGTACTTTCCTGGAACATACTTGACTGTGAACTGATATCGCATGAGCCTTATGCGAAATCTTTGGATGCGAGGGGGCATGAGGTCCAGATCGGCGGAACCAAGCAATCTGACGAGTGGCTGATGGTCGGTTTAAATGACAAAGCTGAGTCCACGCAGGAATTCCTCAAACCTCTCGATAGCCCAAGAGACACCAAGCGCTTCTTTCTCAATCTGACTGTACCGCTGCTCAGCGGTAGTCAGTGCTCTTGACGCGAACGCGACAGCCCGTCGCTCTCCCGTCTGTTGCTCCTGCAAGAGAACCGCGCCTAGCCCGAACGAACTGGCATCTGCCGACACAAGGGTGGGTAGCTCTGGATTGTAGCTGGCCATACAAGCATTAGATGCCACCATTCCCTTCAATGTCTCGAAAGAGGTTGCTTTCGCATGGTCCCAGGTGCAGACCGCGTTCTTGTTCAACAGGAGCCGTATCGGTGTAGTGACGGCAGACAGGTTTGGTAAAAATCTTCCAATGTGGTTCAGCATGCCCAGGAAACGACGGACGCGATGCGTATCTGTCGGCGGCTTCATGTTCACAATAGCAGATACCTTGTCAGGGTCGGCCTAGATGCCACTGGCGCTCACCACTACACCAAGGAACTTGACGGAAGATACCCCGAAGGAGCATTTCGAGGCATTCAACCTAATTCCCGCTTGTTCCAACTTGCGAAGGACTGCTTGGAGTCTACTGTCGTGCCCGGAACGGCTCCTGCCGAATACTAGAATGTCATCTACCATGTTCACACACCCTTCCAGGCCCTCTAGAATCCGAGACATTTGGCGCTGAAATACTTCGGGAGTGGACGTGACGCCGAAGGGCAGGTGGCGGTAGCAGTAGCGTCCAAACGGTGTTATGAAGGTAGTCAGCTCCTGACAGCTTTCCGATAGCCTTACCTTATGAAACCCCAATTTTGCATCAAGTTCCTAGAAGACCGCGGCATTGCCAAGACGGCCAAGTACCTGGTTCACTGTGGGCATAAGGTGTCTCTCCCGAAGAACTACTTGGTTCAACTTCGTGAGGTCAACACAAATTCTGTATTCGTCATCGGCTTTGGGTACCAGCACAATACCAGCGCACCACGGGGTTGGCACTGTGACTCACCGGATGACCCCGTCCCTTTCCATGGCATCTACATCCTTCTTGACTACGCCTTCGAGGGGAATAGGGATGCACCTAGGAACGCTGAGAGAAAATGGAATCGCTCCCGGCTTGATACGAATGTGGTATTCTTCAGGCATTTCGCCAAGGCCTGAGAACAGCGAAGCGGCGGCCTTGTCTGATGTTGGGAGCTTATTCGGAGCTTCCGCATTTTCCACGTTGTCAACAAACTGGACGATTCCCAGGTCCACTACCGCCGAGTACCCCAGTAGAGGAGAGTCCATGTCTGCTACAGCGTACAACGTTTTGCATACCGACCGGCCTCGCCACGACAGGGTAGCACGAAACGTCCCAGGCAACCTTAGGCGGCAGCGTCCCGGCCCCATCAACCGTTCATTATCGGGTTTGTCAAGGTCTACTGGGCACCCGGCGAAGCTCGGAGGTACGACCGAAACGTCCGCCCCAGTATCCACTTTGAATTGAAGAGGGCATCCGTTGACATGAACAACAACGTGCCGGCGTTCTGTTTGCGAGGCATCCACGGCGCAGAGCTGGATTTGGCTTAAACGCCTAGTATTATTCGAGCGGCAAACCGCCGCGAAGTGTCCCTTCTTGCGACGTTGGTTGCATGTGGCCCACCGTGCTGGGCACTCAGATCGCGGATGAGGAACGTGGCCGCAAAATCGCATGCCGACTTCGGGCCGGCGCGGTACTCGGGAGGCCGACAGACGTTACTTTTACTTCGGGCAGCTTCGCATGCTGGGGTATCGGCCACTCGGTACTAGTTGTTTGCAACGGCGTCGACGTTCAGTGCGTCTGGTGCAAGGCCTGTCCCCTGACGCCGCAATTTCTCATTTTCAGCGTCTTCGTACTGACGCGCTTGGATGAGCGCCTCGTCCAGTGTAAGCTTTGGATTGCGGCAGAGCTGGTCGGTCAAGCGAGAGTCAAGCAAACCCACGACAAATCTGTCCCGAACCAGCCGGTCGTCGATTTCCCGAGAGGCGTAGTTGCACTTCTTCACGAGATTTCGGAGTGCCGTGAAAAACGCGTCGACTGAATCGCCTACCGCTTGTGTGCGCTTGTGGAACCTACTCGACTCGTATACCTCGTTGACGGGGTGTACAAAATATCCCGAAAGACTTGTTATCACGCCGGAGTACGAGCGATAGGCCTCGGCGTCTGACATGAGAGACGAAAGCACCTCGCGACCTTGGGTACCCATACAGTAGAGGAGCGTGCGTACCTTGGTTTCTTCGGGGGCGGAGGACAGTCCTGAGGCGAAGGAGTAATCCTCGAATTGTTGAAGCCACGCCGTCTATTGGGCTGGGTTGTCAAAAGTGAACGGCGGCGGAGTTCGCAATGTGAAGCTGGCGGTCACGGCGGAGGCAGCGGCTCGGTTATCCTGCATGTTGCACGGTTGTCGCAGGATCCCACTTCTGACACCATGTAGTGACGTGCCCGGGTAGCGCGGACGCCGCTAGCCGAGCCAAAAGTGGGCGTGAAGCCCGCGAAGAATGACCCGACAACGCATAGTTCACAAACAGCAAAAAGCCTCATTTAATGCCCACCGATGCCTTTTATACAGAGTGGGGGCGCCACCTCCCAGATACTAGAAGCAACAGGTGGCGTCCCCTACAAGGACCTCTACCACTTAACGGGATAGCATTTGAGTGGTTTACGTGCCCCAGGTGGGAGGGTGGTGCCACCTATCAGATAGCGAATAAGCTACAGAACATAGAAAAGGGGAAAGAAAGAGGAATTTTTGCCCGTGCAGCGCGCCTGGGTCTCCAGGCAAAGCAATGTTACAAGTTTTTTTAGTGATAATAAAAGTAGCTAAATGTTAACCATGCACCAAACGCGAAAACATTTGTGCTGCTGATTTGTTTACATCGATCTTCAAGTGGGGCCTAGAGACGTTCGAAATGGTAAGACATCTGGAAAATAGCGCCAACTTATCCGGGACACTCAGTCATCGATTCTAACTGAAGGCAAGCGAAGTCATTTTCGATACTATTTTGCTGCGAATGAAGTGAATCTCAACAACTACACCAAACTCACTTCGAAGCGGGTGTCCAAAACCACCGCCATGATTTAAGTACACTACATAAACTACGCTAACATGATAACGCTAAATCTGAAAAATAGCCTGTTTACGGTCAGCGGTACGGGTCACGTACAATACTGTGCATGCGCACATTTATCCTGCAATCCCGCTAAGGCACGTAAACTGTAACTGTCCATAATTGTCAAAGCGGAAGGAATTTCTTTGAAAACTTGACAAGTGCTGTTACCGTGTTAGACTACAGTGATATGCTCAGGATTCCGTGATTTTGTTGAAGTTGTATGAGCACTTCCTTCCAAAACGTAAAACTTTGTTGAATATATACACCGCTAGAAATACTGTTTTAACGCAAAAACCTCAGTAAAAAGATATATATATATATATATATATATATATATATATATATATATATATATATATATATATATATATATATATATATATATATATATATATATATATATATATATATAAATGTATATATGTATATATGGGGGGGAGAGAGTACAGAAACTATTCTGTGATGCTTGTAAAGTGAGTTAAACAACTTTACTGACGATCCGGCATAGAGGGGGAAGGGGTAGGGGGATTAAAGCGAGACACTAGCGTGCTCGGACGTCTCGGAGCAGCAACCTACTCGCGTCAAACCCGTGGGGGCGCTGCTTTCGGCCGCTGGCGTTCCAGGATGCTAAGCACGTGCTGGACCATGTCTCTTTGGTTGCCTGGCTCTCGGCTGATGATTTTGCTGCTTATGGCAGTTGGCATTACTTCTTGGTTACCGAGCGGTGGTGCACAGTCCCAGAGGAGGTGTCTCTGGGTGGCTCGCGCCTTCTTGCAGTGTTGGCATACATCAGTGGTGAAAACCTCTGGGCAAACATGCTTTGCCCAGACGGGGGTCCATATAGCTTGTACTTGCAACTGCCCACGATACACGCGCTAACTAGCCGCAGGTCTGTCAACGCATTCCTCGGAGCCGCAACGACCCGATGCCGACGTTCTGCAGTGGTACAAATCGAGCAGACGCCTTTACCCACCACCTCACTGATGCTTGTAAAAAATACGCGGGACAGACACGACTATATATGAGCTCCTTTGTCAAGACGCGACGCCCTTACTACTCGCATATTAAGCGTCGGTCATCATCAAATAGGCAGATGTATTTTTAGCTGGGAAAATAGCGCCAATATTGGGAGTCTTTTTAGCTTTGTTTTTGAGGCGCGAATGTTGCCTTCTCGTTCATGTGCGCTCAACGAATATTGAAGACAAAGGTACACAGCAAACTTCTTGAAACCATCAAACGTCCTGAGTGGCTTCAACTGCTTTTCTTCCAGAAGTTCGTTCTCATGAACCAGGAATAACGGTGACAAGTCATTTTTTTCCTACCGATATGCCATCATTCGTACATTCGTGCGCAAGTGACATGGGCTATTCAGCGACCAAGGCCTGTTCTACATCACAGACCGCATGAAAGACCTGATGAAGTGCATGAAACAAAAGTGTATATATATATAGAACCAGAATTGTGCAGATATTAATACATCGGTGGACACGTTATCACGTAAAATTAGGAAAAATATACGTAGTAACCATTATTTTTACAAGAAATGAAATAAACTCGTTGCAAGCAACGTTTCATGCAGCAAAGAGAACCATGACACAATGGAATAGTGTTGATTCTCTTTTTCAATTCACGCAAGCGTTGCCACGCATATAGAGCAGCGGTCTTGTGGTAGTCACAGTCGTTGTGATATCTTAAATTTTCGAGCACGTTCTTCCAACGCGTGAACGGAAAGAGGTCCAAGGCACCATAAACTTGCTGAGTCCCCTTGCCTGAACGTTCGTTCTTTTCCGTAAGTCACACATATATTGAAGAGCTTCCTGCTGATATTTGAAATAAACCAGCCGAGCAAACATTTCTAGCCAGAGAGGTTGCAACTTCAGTTAGTGCCTAATAACTAAGGGAAAGGTGTAGCACTTGGTTTCTATGATGTCGTTAGCAAACATCGTCTAGTCTCGCCGTCCTGCAACTGGCCATTAAACACGTAAATATCGTTGTCAGGAATCACGGTTTCCATGCATGTATTATGCTGCGATGGGCTTTCAGGAGTTCTTTCAGCACAATAGCCGTATTTAGGCAATGCATAAGTATACAGGTCAGAACCCTTTGTTCGGCTGCTGAAGCCTTTCGCCTGCAGTTGTCGAGTGTGCAATTAGGCAAGTGTGCCCTTTTGAGAAATAATCATCAAGCGTTACCGTACGGCATTTCGGCGTGGCCATCAATTCTCATAGAAGGGCGCTGATTGACACAGAATACCAACCACCCAGCAATACGTGTAAGCGGCGTATTTCAAAGAAGAGGGTGACTTCACATTGCTAGGAAGCAACGCGCTCAGCAAAGTTAGGGCAGTGACAATGAATTCGAGAACGAGAACTTCAGCGATGATACGCGTCGGCTGGTAATGTTTCGCCTTAAACACTAGCGCTTGTTTCTTCCCTGATGGAAAGATTCGCGGGTATACATTTCCTCCGCTTCCCTTCAGATGCCGATAAGGTCGCGCTTGTCCACATCCTACTCCACGCGCGAAACGACTCGCTTTTTTTATTGCGCCCTTAGCGCCATTACGGAAGGCTGGTATAGTTTCAGTTGCATTGATGCCATACCACAAACGTGGATGAAGACGAAGGTATTGACGCTAGCAGCGAATTTCGAGCGACTTGCATCAGAATGCCTGAAACAGACAACTGACAGCCACGGGTGGGGCACAATGCAGAGTAAGTAAACCAGCGTTGCATACGCTGTCAGTTCTCGTCAGCGTTCAGGCGTTCTGAGAAATTGATTATGGTGCACAATGCTCTGAAGAAAACAGGAGTTAATTCCTTCATCCGTAGTAAAGTCATAACTCGAGATTTTGTGTGGTACGAGGCTGCTCCTGTTCACGCTGGCGTAAGTGCTGAAACATGAATGCACATACTAGTTAGAACAGTGTATACATGGCATATCTATGCGGCGCGTCTAAATATTCTGTACAGCTCTGAATTTGTTGACATAAAAGCAAATGACGGATGCACGCTATCAAACAACGGAAGGCACTTAGCCGCTACACTAACGTTGCAGGCAGCAGCGCAATGAAATGTACGGAAAAAAACGAGAACTTTGCACGTTTTGCGCATATTCGAGATTTCGAGAGCATATGCGCAGCCAACGAGCTATTTCTATGCGAGTAGGCATAGTCTGGTCCCAGGTGCATTTTAGATTGAGACCAAGTGAACATTTATTAACAATAATCGCTTCTCGGCCTTTTGGCTAGGATCAAAGTGAAGCTACTACACCCGCCTCTGGTCCCCGGCAGCAGTGGACACGACAATCCTCAGGACGCGAGCCCCCACCAACGAGGAACGGGACCTTTGCCCCTTCTTGGACGAAGAGGTTGCAGCTAAGCTCCGAAGGTGCGAGTGTACAGCTCCGGGAGAGGACCGCCTCACTTACCACCACTGGAGGCAGGTGGACCCAGAAGGGCGGTACCTTGCGGCGGTATTCAACGTCTGCCTCAAACACCGTCGCACACCCTGGAGCTGGAAGTCGACGAGGACAATCCTCATACACAAGAAGGGCGACCGCGAGGACCCCAGAAACTGGCGACCCATTGCCCTTGGTCGAACGATCGCCAAACTGTATGCCGGGTGTCTCACCACCCGGCTGCAGCGGTGGTTGGGCGACCATGCGGTACTTTCCAGGTGTCGGAAGGGCTTCCTGCCGCACGATGGGGTGTTCGAACACAACTTCGTGCTACAGGGACGCCTAGACGACGCCAGGACGGGAGGTGGGGAGCTGTGCGCGGGGTTCCTCGACTACGCCAACGCCTTCGGCTCGGTCGCCCATGAGGCCCTCGTCGACGCTGTTCATGGCGCCGGCGCGGGGGAGCCCTTCGCGGAGATCGTGGAGGAACTCTACCGCGCCAACACCACCTGCGTCGTGGCAGCTGACGGCACCACGGAGCCTATCGCCATCGGAGCGGGCCTACGCCAAGGCTGTCCCCTGAGCGGCCTGCTGTTCAACCTGGTGGTGGACCCCATCATCAGAGCCGTGCAGGGAAGCGATAGGCAACACAACATCCTTGCCTACGCCGATGATCTGACGCTGCTCGCTGGGGATCCCGCCACCTTGCAGCGCCGCCTCAACGTGGTGACGGCCCTTTCGGACCCGCTCGGGCTGCGACTGAAGCCTGCCAAGTGCCGCACCCTCCACCTGTCCGGACGCTACCCGGTGGGCACACGGCCCACCATTTTCACCGTGGGGAGCGTCCCGGTCCCGGCATTGGCGGACTTCGAGGGGCACCGGTTCCTGGGGTGTCCTGTGGGGTTTCGGGTGCTACCGGACCAGACGACGGTCGACGAGGCCATCCATCTCGGCAGACGGCTGCTCTCCTCCATGCTCACCCCATGGCAGAGGCTGGATTCTATTAAAACATTTTTATATCCAGCCCTCAACTTCGCCATACGGGTGGGCCTTGCCAGCAAAGGAGAGTGGCATCGCTTGGACGAGGAGCTTCGCCCGCTGATCAAGAAGACCCTGTACGTGCCGGCCAGAGCGTCAAATGAGTATGTGTACGAGAGCGCACATGCCAGCACTGCAGGGATCCCTCTTGCGGCAGAGCTCAGCGACATCTGCCGAGTGGACGGGGCCTTCAAGCTCCTGTCGTCGACTGATCTTGAGGTCCGGGAGCGAGCGAGGGACGAGCTCAACCGGGTGGTGTCGAGGCGGCTGAGGCGACTGGCGGACACGGACGACACCGAGGCCCACCTCTCAGGCGAAACGGAGGGCGACTTCCGGCAGACTGCGACCCAGCTGCAGTCTGTCTGGACGGAGGCACGCAAAGCCTCCCGTCGCCTGTCCGTCGCCTGGGAGCTTCTGGACCAGGGTGCCCGCATTACCTGCGGAGAGGCCACGGTGTCAGCGCGGAACCGCAACAAGCTGATCAAGATCCTTCGGGCCATCCTCAACCAGGACCGGGACCGTTCTCTCCAGGAGAAGCCGTCCCAGGGCAAGGTGATGGCGTGTGTAGCGGCGGACCCCGCCAGTTTCCACTTCATGAGGTCCGGCCGCTACACTCGCTTCAAGGAGTGGCGCTTCATTCACCGAGCCCGGCTGAATCTCCTCCCCCTGAACGGCACAAGAGCGTGGGTGCCCGCAGCTGACAAGAGGTGCCGACGCTGCGGGTACGGGGAGGAGACCCTGCCGCACGTTCTCTGCCACTGCATGTGGCAGAGCCGGGCCATGACGGAGCGCCACAACGCCATCGTTGCGCGCCTCAAGAAGGCGGCCCTAGAGTGGTTCACCGTCATCGGGGAGAACCAGCAGGTCAGCGTCCCCGGCTTGCGACCCGACCTCGTCCTGGCCCGTGGTGAGGAAGCCCTGATCCTGGACGTCTGCTGTCCCTTCGACAACCGCATGCAGGCGTTCCAGGAGGCTCGGAGGGTCAAGGAGGAGAAGTACGCCCCTCTACCGCGTCATCTCCTCCAACGGTTCCAGCGCGTCTCCGTCGACGCCATTGTCGTAGGCTGCCTCGGCTCGTGGGATCCGGCCAACGATCGTGTCTGCCGCAGGTTCTGCTCCAAGAGCTACCTGTGGACCATGAAGAGACTTTGCGTGTCAGACACGATCGCCGCCTCTACGAACATTTACCGTGGCCATATAGGCGTTTTGTAAATAGTTGTGTTTTTATTCGAGAAGCGATACCGCGTTTTTTATTGTTATACACTTTTATCCATACTAACACCACTAACACTTTTTAGCCTTTTTGTTACCTGATTTTATTTATACACCTTTTATTGCCGTTTTTTGTTATGTTCTATAACCAATTATGATGTTTGGGCATTAAGTATAATAAAATAAATTATCTTGCCTTCGCAGAATGCATGACAAAACCTCTAATTTGAGTACCTCATTGCTCTCATAAGTTGTAGTGCAACTGTGACATGAAACGTGGTTGCAAGAAAGTTTTCCCGAAAAATAACGTGTGCGAAATCGTGTTGCCAACGTGCAGTATATACCATACGAAAAAATAACTTATTGCGTGTCGAAAGTATGCTTGGATGCTCGCGGTAAATCAAAACAAAATGTTGACCAAATGCTATCACTGCATCAGGGCTGCTTCAAATATAGAACTTGACATAAGAAAAAATCATTCGCATAGGCATGCAGTCACAAACATGACAGTAAGAAAGTATTTTCTCAGCAAAGTAAGCAAAATTGAAATGTAATTATTATTGTGCGAAAACAAGCCGCGCACACATCTCATTCCTCGTTGAAAGCGGAGCCGTCCTTGACCTTGAAACGCACTTCGCCACAACTAGAACTACGCCATCTACGCTTAACAGCGATTGATGTTGATGATCTCTTCTCGATCGGGAGCACCATCGCAATGATGAATTTTCGAAGACTACAGTTCATTCAACGGTGCGACGAGAGGCCGTTGCTCCTTAAAGTCACTCTGCCTGTCGTTTACACCCACTGCGGTGCTCTAGTGGCTAAGGTACTCGGCTTCGGACCCACAGGTCGCGTGGTGGAATCCCGGCTGCGGCGGCTACATTTTCGGTGGAGGAAAAAATGTTGTAGGCCCATGTGCTCAGATTTGGGTACACGTTGTGAAACCCAAGGTGGTCGAAATTTTTATAGCCTTCTTTTATGCCACTCTCATAATCATAGAGTAGTTTTTGAACGAGAAACCTCACATATACATCAATGAATTACCTGTCAGGTACTGTATTTTTCTGCGAAAGTTTCACTTTTACTTACTCTCTTCACAACCATACCAATGAGAAGAGGGTGGAATCTGAGGATTTTGATAAACGAGTACAGGTACAAAATATTGCCACATTTCGAGCATCGCAAAGACGCGTGTAAAAATTTCGTTCGTAAAAGTTGCCACACAAGTATCAAGAAAGCCGCGCCAACGAACGCCGTCTTGCACGCTCCACGATGCTACTCCACGGTACCGGCACGACACTCGAGGTGAAAAGGAAACCGACGAAGTGGGCGACAGCGAGCAAGGAACGTTTCTGCTGACCATTTAGTTTTAAGTTAACGGGCACAGGTTTGCCCTAAATAAACAGTTTATACAGTACCAGGTGCTATATTTATTGGTAACAATATGCTTTAGTTACCATTGATAGTCACGTCACTGAGCAAAGCTAATGGCAGTACTAACCCCCCCCCCCTCCAAAGTCGGGTCGGTGTGACTCCCTCCACTCTGAAAAACTTTTTTGGCAACGCCACTGTCAATGGATCACGAAGGTTTACACTGGGTGCAAACATGGTAACCATGGCATGCGTGTCATTTAACAACATGACCACACACCACATTCATGTTGCGCTCACGGCCTTTTCATTAGCTTGACATGTGCCAAATTGGGTACTACGTGACGTCAATGAATGACTAAAGTATGTGACTGGTGCAATAATGATAATCTTGATATGTGCGTCATGTAAAATATGACAAGATCCTACGCTCACGATGCACCTGCAGCCGTTTAGCTTGCTTTACATATACCGAATTTGGTATTACGGGACGTGAATGAATAACGAAGGTAAATGCGCGTTCAAACATGATAATGATAACATGCATGTCGCGTAGAACATGACTACATGCATCGCTCATAATGCGCTCTAGGCTGTTTCGTTAGCTTTACATATATCAAATTTGGTGTAACGTGACGTGAATGGACGAATAACATTAATGTCAGATGCAAAATATTACCATGAAAATTATGTACGGCATAATTCACGTCCACTTCGTAACGTCGTGCTCACTTTAAAGAGACATTTGAACCTCCCTCACTCTAGCTTTGCTTATCATCAATTCCGACTGTACGTGAGATCTGCCTTTTTTCTTTTTATTTATTTTTTAAAGCGAAGAATGTCTTAGCAAACTTCAGCGACGTGTCTATCTAGCCGCTTACGTTTGAGTGCTCTCATGGTCATCCCGTTAACTTTATGTGAACCAACATTAGCGTGGGAGGATAAGATGGTTTCACGATAACGACGCGCTAGTCAAGACATGAATAATGTCACAATCCCGTCGCGTACGTCGACAAACACTTCCCGCTAGAACGTGGCACATAAACACGGGCAGACTGGTACGTGGATATGTGCCACAGCTTATTGACACTTAGTATCTACCTAGGAACGACAAGAACACACCGGGGCAATTTAACGAGCAAGCGTTAAGAAATACCCGACATTGATAGCGTCGACTAGACCAATGCAAAGAAAAATTTGAGGGTCCCAGCAGGTATCGACCACAAGCATCCATCGTGGCAATGAAACATATTACCACAAAGCTACGCCAGGTCTCGGAAATAATTTTCAAATAGACGCCTATCTTCGTGAAATATCAATAATGGTTGCTGTGCTGCCTACCCCTTTTTAAAATTACATTTGTACTTCTTTGATACAGCCATCACGTCGGGTTAACATCCAATGTGGTTAGGTACCATGCACTGAAGTATTTATGTAGCAGTGTCCAGGGCTGGAATCTTCACGAAAATCAACGCTTCAAACATCAGATTCTGGTGTTGCTAATAAACGATATGTTGACATTTATATAGCGTCATCTCATGACATACCGCTCAATAAAATGTGCAACACAGTCCTCTTCCCTACGCACACTTCGCATAACGTCGATTCCAAGGTTCATGGGATCTGCCATTTTTTTTTTCATTTGAATCTCTCTGGAGTTTACGGTCCCGAACAACACTAGTTTTTTTTTTTTTTCAATCAAGAAAGCCGACGCCAAAATTTCAGCAAAACGAGCTCTTTAGCGCTGATCTAAAAAAGACTATTTCACTTAAAAGAGCCACCTTTCTTTTATTTCTTCTTAAAAGTTCTTACAAACTGTAAATACACTGATGTAACCGTAACCTTGGTTTTTTTTGTTTTATGCAGTGGCAACGTTTGCGCCACTCTATTCACTGGTACATATTCTTGAAAACACAATCATGTCATTGTTGTAGAGAGCATTGACACTTACACATTTCACCCTAATAATAAATCACCTTAATAAATAAATATCTCTTTGAAAATCTTCGAACATTTCTCTTTAGTAACCATTATATTGCAAAGTACCTAATTATGGAGGTCCCCCATGTTAGGTTTTGCAGTTTCTTCTACCTAGGTAATCTGAATGCAGAAAAAAATTGCCGAGTCTTTGGACACACCTCATTAGTTAAAAAAAACAGGCAATTCTCTCGAAGTGCCTAGCTTAAAGCTTATTTTATTCCACACGTGTGGTTTAAATAGAACGGCGCAAGCCCTCTTTACGTGCTAATTCATTTACAGTGCCTGAGCAAACTTAAGCAACCAATAATTATTGAGCCTCCCTTAACTAGACCAGCTGGCATTGAGCGCCTGAAACCAAATGTAAAATCATGAGATATAGGAGTGACAGTTAGCTCCCCATCGTTCTCGCTGAGCACTTTGAGCAGTCAGCAAATAAGCATCTCCCTATCAACTGTAGTCGGCTTTTACTTCGTCCTCTACAGGATCAGCATTTTTCCATCATTAATGATAACAAACATAATACGAAATGCTTTCCACCACGCTGACATATAACCGTGGTAGAAAAGTAGAACATGACACAAAAGGCAGATATCAAAGCATTTTATCGGCGAAGTTTTATCTTCCGATTCCAATGTGACTATGTGAATGCCTAAAAATGTATTCGATGAAATAACTGCGGCGCAAACGTTACACCACCAGTTCGCCGATGACATGTGAGCGCATGAAGGTTTACGATGTCATGCACTAAGGGAGCGGCTGGTGGAAGTGGAAAAATCCACCTTGGTGCTGACGCTACGCTGCCTCACCGGCGGCTCGAATGGTTCATTCCACTTGTCCCCGGTGGCGGATGTGTCGACACAACCAGGCCCGTGATGAAGAGGAAGTAGAGCGCATTCATGACGGTGAGAAGCACGAGTAAGGTGGTGGCAAACACGTACAATTTCTCAAAGTGTTGATCGCCGAAGCGAGAAAAAACGGCAGTTGAGTTTAGGACGATAGCTTGGTTGTGGTGGCAGCTGCACGACCACGTTCATGGTTGCTGCGTCTGGGAAAGTACCGGGAGACGCTGCCCACAGCTGTGCCGATGCAGCTGTCTTCATGCTTCTGTCAGTTTTTCGGAGACTCACAGCGACTCACGGAGGGTACACCGCCTTCTGTCGAACTTTTGGGCAGGCAGCGCGGCCATCTTGAAGGCTTCCGAGATGATAACACTAGCAGAAGTGATGCCACAAAATGAAGTCGTGGCGCGTGCACACGGCCTTCTTCCCCTTCTTTTGTCTCAGAACACGAATGCCCCTGAACCTCCTTGTTCGTAATCACCTTCTCTTGTGGCACACACCCACTGTGGTGACATTTTTAATGGTCTTCTTTTTTCTTTCTGCTACAATGCCTTCCTGCCACAAGTCTTTTGCAACATCACTGATGTTACTCACTTGCTGAGAGAAATCTAAGAGTTGCTTATAACGGTCATTCTTCTCAATACATTTTGAAGGTGTTTCTCCTTCTTTCATAATTATTTAATTCATACGGATAGTACGCATTAAGGAGCTGTCACCTTAATTAACGACAGAGGTATATGAAAGTGAAAACTGAAAGAATAAGAATAAACAACTTACGGTACACCGGTTATGCTACTTTAAGAGCTTAAAGCTAGCCGTGTACCCTGTTTCATGTACCCTGTTTGTGAAGGCATTCTGTAAAAGCCTTCTATGCCTGCACTTCCAGCTTTTCATTACCATTTGTGTCTAGTTACTTCAGTTCCCAATTTTCAACTATGTTGTAGTTAGCATTAACTGCTTTGCCGTTGATGTTTCCTGAACGAATGTTAACCACCCAATCGTCAAGATTGTAGTTTTTACCGTTGCTCTCACTCCGTTATTACTCAAACTTATAATATGTTTTTCCCCATGTATTACCCTCGTCATGGGCATTTGGGGGTATTTCGAAATAAATTAACTAATAACTAAACTAAATAAATAAATATTGTATAGTTTGTAGAATATAGAGTTTCCTTGGGATTCGAGCACCGGACGCCGACCCTTTAAAAACCCATAAAACTCCACGCGACATCCTCTAAAACCAAAGAGGAGAACGTCTGAGATACCGTCACCCCCATCTCTATTTTGCCAGAGAACAGGCGCGAGATTGGCGTCGAGTACAGAAGAACCCATACCCTCACTTACAAACAAACCACCATGAACATGTATACCACAATATACACAAGCACGCGTCCGTGGTGAATCGAATGGCACTCTCTTCCCCACATTACGTGGGAATGCAAATCACGCCTCATAACGTCACTTCTCCTTTTTTGCGGGTAACATCTCGAACGAGGCTGTGTGAGACCTGGCTTGCTAGGATGGGGAAAGCCAGCTGGCTTTGCTCGACCAATCCCAACGAGCCGCTGAGGCCAGTGGAGCCCTCGACTGACGACCCCGCCCACTTGCCCAGGAATCTTTCAGAGAATAAAAAGAAAGTTTATCTCTCTCTCTCTCTCTCTCTAAAAAGGTAAATTGAAGAAAAAAGAAAAGAAATCATGTACTTTGTCAACATCACCCAAGTTGCTGGAGAGCGAACGCGGCATAAATAAGTAATCATTCGATCACCATCGTAACACTCAAGCGCTCGAACTTTAAACAAAAAGAAGACGACCACGTGCTCGGAGGTGCCATTTTATGCTCCCCGAAGAAAAACCAATGAACCATTTTCTGCAGTGCACCATCTTCGGATCTGGCATGCAGACGTCTAAGAAGTTCCAACGGAGGCCTCGTGTGGCTGCTGAAAACGAGATTAATGACAGGTCCCTTACAGGAGAAGTTGGAGCCTCTAAGCAGCAGCGAGAGCACGGACACGACAGCGTCCACTCTATATCTGACGCAGCCACGAGGACGTCCACGGAACCGGCAGCCATGAACGAGATCACACCGCCGCAGCCGCCGCCGAGGTATCATCCTCAGCTAAGCCGCGACTTGTGCTCTCTTCGGCAACTGTGACTGGGGCCACTTCACTAGCAGTCACCGCCATTTCGGTCGCTCGTGCCATTAGCGCGAACTCTATGTGCTTCATTTTCACCCCGAGGCTTCTCACGTCGACCATCCAACACTTCGGACTCGTCGGATGAATTATTAGAGCCTCCTTGGAGTTGTGGCAGTGTCCACATCGACGCGGCTACCTGCACTTCCACCTCCCGTCCGCGTGGTGCGCGACATCCAGGAAGACCAACTGCAAACATGAAGAGCACGAACTGGTGACAAGACGTTAACTTAATCTCTGTTGGATAGATGATATTTTTACATTCGTACGTTATGACACAGGAAATTGCGGGTCATATTACAGTGATAAAAGTTTTTCATTGTGGCCTCCTGTGTGGCACTGTGCTTCATTATTATGGTTATTTGCTACACCATTACAGTATGATCATATTTTATGTGGTGTATCTAACGCTTGTAACTTTCAATAGTAGCAACAAAAAAGTTGGACCGTAGCTACTAGATCGCAGAAGCCATAGGCTTTGCAAATACATAGAAGTGTGCGAACAAGACATATTATATTGAGTAGAATAAAAATTGAATATGGCGTTCAAATAAGAAAGTAACACCTTCTAAGAGAGTCCCAAAATTCATCTTAGAGTCCCAAAATTCATGCCCACACTGTGACGCAGTGGGCCATCAAGCAGATACATGCCCGCCCCCGCATCCCGGCCGCTGCACAAGCTGCGGCGTTCAGGTACCTGCTGCTACTCCGGACGGCCCCACGAAACACCAGTGCGTTCTGAGCTGCCTCCTCTGCGGTGGTGGCTACAAGACTGGAGCTCCCGGTTGTGCTGGACGGTTCCGGCAGCCGGTCAAGTCGGGATCCCCACGCGGATCCAAGCCAAGGACAACGAGGGGAAGGGGGGGGAACAAACAGGCTCCGACTCCCAGGACTGGCCCCAAGAAAGCACCAGCCGCCAAGTCGAATAAGCCGGAACCCAAGAAGACCAACACCGGGCACTCCACCAATGTAAAGTCTGGGACCCCGTCGGAGACTCCTGTCTTAGTCAAGGACTTCCCACCCTTGACACCCGTCCAAGCACAGGTGAGCTGTTGGGGTGGGGCAGTCTCCGGACCTTCCCCTTCTTCCTCCCCTACCGAAACCGCCCTACAGCAGCAGATAGGGGAGCTTAGGCGCCAGAACCGAATTCTTGCGCGCAAAATTCAGGAATTAGAAGCCAAGCAGGTCGGGTCATCCGAGCCAGTGCAGGAAGCCGAGGCAGAGGACGGGATGACGGCTCTTCCGTCACATCCCGCCTCACTAGCGTCTCGCGGCAGGACGCGGACACGGAAGTTGGACCAGCTTCCATTACCATATCCATCGGTCGCATCGAGTCCCTAGAGCGTAAAACCGAGCAATTAGAGGCGAGCGTGGCAGCCCTCCCCACTCAAGTCATGTCGGCAGTCCGCGAGTCCTTTCAGGACATGTTCACGGCAGACTTAACGCAAGCACTTCCCGAAATTGTGGCGCAGGTCTCTAACTCAGTCCTTAAAGCCGTGCAGCTCTGAGTTATCACCCAAATTAAAAACACCACTCAGAGCGACTCCCCGCAGGTTAAACGCAAGTCGGCCTCCCGTCAGGCAGCAGAATAAGGCTTTTCGGGGCCGGCTCCAGGTCCGGACCGGTCCTCTGCACCGTAAATAAATACTAAAATAAGGCTAGCCGATCTAACAAACAAGCTAGATATCTAGAAAAATTTGAGATTATACAATGGAACTGCAGGGGTTTTAGAGCCTGGAAAAAACGGTCGCACCTCCAGCTCTACATGCAGTCCGTCGGAAACATACCCGCCTTGCTTGCTTTGCAGGAGTCCGGTTTGGACATTAAATTCTCTGGCTATAGCACTTTCCAGGGGGGGGGGGGGGGAGCTCGTCATGACCCCTGGGGAACAAGGCATATACCGCGATTCAGATCGATTTAAACTTATGTACTGAACAAGAATACACAATGGTCAAAGTAGTGCTTCTCAGACGTCGCGACCAGTCAATACACATCCTAAATATATACAGCCCCCCGCATAAGCCACGCGTAACTTTTAGCGAAATCTTCCTCCGGGCGATCATGTTGGCAGACAAGGACCCCTTAGTGATGGTGGGAGACTTCAATGCTCCCAGCCTTCACTGGGGCTATCACTACGAGAAGGCCAGAGGACGTAAGCTGGCGGAACTTATCTCCACCCTTCGCCTCACGCTGCTCACGGATCCGGCGTACCCCACTCGAGTGGGGAACTCGGTAACCCGTGACACGTGTCCGGACCTCTCTCTCGTAAAAAATGCTAAGGATGCTACCTGGGAGAACTTGGGTGATTCTCTAGGCAGTGATCACTGCCTTCTCCGGGTCACACTCCTGGAAAAGTCAGCTCATAAAAAATGTGATCAAGCCAAGTTGACCGATTGCACCCAATTTTGCAATCAGACTATCCCTCCCGTACTATTTTCTGGAGGCTATGAAGAATGGGCTCAACACGTAAACAACATTGAGAAAAGACTTTTTACTACCCTCCAAACCAACGAAGAAATCCCCGCAGTTGACACTCACCTCCTACACTTGTGGGAGGCTCGCCGAAGCTTAACAAAACGTTGGAAAAAGCAGAAGACTAATCGCAAATTACGTATCCGCATAGCCCAACTCACGGAACAGGCTGCAGCGTATGCTGCCCAACTCTCAGATTCAAATTGTATAGCCCGCTGCGACGCCGCAGCTCGTCAGATGAGCTCGAAAGGGACATGGCGTCTCTTTCGCAGTCTCATAGACCCCTCTCAAACGAGAGGGGAGGCGCAGAAGCAGCTCCGGCGAGCTCTGCAAGGGTACCAAGGCACTCTGGCACAGCTTGCGGATGCTCTGTGTGATAGGTATCTCTGTCGTACGGAGGACCCGCCTGGGCCGGCGTACACGTCCTCTGGTAAGCCTAATCACTAACTTGATGCCCGTTTTGAGTTGCATGACCTTAAAGCGGCTTTAGCTAAAGTGCGCAGGGGTACGACTCCGGGGCTGGACCGCATAACAGTAAAGCTGTTGGCAAACCTCCCTGACACAGCCTACCTCCATTTATTGGAATACATGAACGAGATCTGGGACGGCCGTGCGCTCCCTTCCGAATGGAAAACGTCACTTGTGACTTTTATCCCCAAAACAGGCAAGGCCGTGAATACGGAAAATCTGAGGCCCATATCACTGACTTCGTGCGCGGGCAAGCTTATGGAGATGATGGTACGGAATCGCCTCTCCCCATACCTTGAGGGCAAGGGCTTCTTTGCAGACACCATGTTTGGGTTGCGCCCACACATGTCTGCACAGGACGTCCTTCTCCAGCTCCATAGGGCCGTCATACAGCCCATAACTATGCAACACAATGATAAAGCCATCCTCGCCCTTGATCTGAAGGGGGCTTTCGACAATGTTAAACACAGCAGCATCCTGGCTAACTTGAATTCCACCGATTGCGGGGCTAAGGCATTTGCATATGTCAGAGATTTTCTCTCTAAGCGCCAGGCACTTCTTCGGATCGAGGACGAGGAATATGGCCCGTACATTATGGGAACACGGGGTATCCCACAGGGAGCAGTGTTATCACCGCTCCTTTTCAATTCCAAGTGAATTGGCCAGGGTGGAAGGCACACAACACGCAGTATATGCCGATGATATTACAATCTGGACCAATGAAGGGAGCCTTGGTGAAATGCAGGAACGCCTTCAGCAGGCCGCATCCATAGTCGAGGCGTATGCCAACGATTGTGGACTCCAATGTGCTCCAAACAAATCAGAGCTTCTGCACGTTAGAGCGAAGCCAAGAGATAAGTCAGTCATACACATCTACCTGTCTGGTGTTCCCATCAGAGAGGTGGAGGAGCTCCGGATTCTGGGCCTGTTCATTCACCACAGACTCAGACCGGACTCCACTATAGCGAAACTCAAGAGAATAGGCGAACAGGTAGGGCGCATGATCCACCACGTTTCCAACAAGTGGGGTGGTCTGCGGGGCAAGGACGCGCTTCGGCTCGCCCATGCCTTTGTGATTAGCCGGATCCTCTACGCCGTCCCATACCTTCGCACTAACAAGCAAGAAGACGAAAGAATAGATGCCATCATTCGTAAGGCTACTAAACGAGCTCTGGATCTCCCGGTGGCCACTTCCCACGCCAAAGTGAGGGCGTTAGGTGTGCTCAATTCCTACCAGGAGTTGCGGGAGGCCCACCTTATGAATCAATATACGCGGCTCATGCAGACGGCTCCCGGGCACCGCCTGCTGAACCGCTTACATATACAGCACACTTGCACTGCAGAGGAGGCGGATCGTATTCCGGAACTGTGGCGGCATATGCTCTCGGTCTCTCCACTCCCCAGTAACATGGATAAGCACACGCAGGAAAGCAGAAGACAGGTGCGGGCTCGGATGCTTGAGAGGCAACACGGCTCCCGACCTGGTGTATTCTACGTAGATATAGCAGGGCCTTCGCCCACGGAATTTTACACGGCCTGTGTAGTTCACCGGGAAAAACATGTCAATGGGCTCTCGTTCCTAGCACAAAATCCAGAGCGTGCTGAGGAAGTCGCGATAGCGCTTGCTGCTGCGGACCCCAACTCGAAATTTATCATCACGGACTCCCGGAAAGCATGTGCTCATTATTTGGTAGGAGAGATATCCCCCCTAGCCAGCCAAATTTTAAAACGGGCTCTCGCTTATCCAGCCCCGAAACGCATCGTATGGGCGCCTGGCCATCGGGGCTTACGAGGTAATGAGGCCGCTGATGCGGCCGCCCGAGCGCTTACACACCGGGCTCCTCACCTTGGCTCTTATAACTCGGAGGCCAATACACCGCTGCTGCGGTTCAAAGAAATTCTGACCTATTATCGCGACACTCACCGCCTTTACCCGGCTCCTGCAAAGGGGCTGAGTAAGGCGGAAGAGCGAACTCTAAGGCGCCTGCAGACAGGTACTCTACTCTGTCCTGCAATCCTA